CTCATACTCTATACACAATTCTTTCATCTCCTTTGCTTCGAACCCTCCACTAAGCAATTCACACATATCATCAATTGTCTCGCTCTCTATTTTATCCTTCTCCTCCATCAGGACAACATCAATAAGTGTAACATCACTCACGATATCATGTATAATATTCATCTTCACGAACATATTATCATCAACATTAGAAATCTCATGTTGAATCTTAATGATGACAAATCTTCCTTTTCGATAGTAAGTATCTCGTTGCCTACCACTTGAGAAACTTTCTCCTTAGCAAATTCTGTCTTAAATGCATCCGGTTCTATGATTGACATAATTGATAAAGTATTCGTTGTTGCTTCTTCAGTGCTCTTCACAAATCCAGACTCCTTCTTAAGAGACGAATTGAGGTTTCTTAGTTTTGCCATAATCATAACTAGTTGGATAACTCTCTAAAAACATCCATGACGAAGGTCATTTGCCGCTCTGCTCAAGTTTTCGCTGCACCTTCTTCGCTAGACTGACCATGCCGGGTAAAGTAAAAGAATCTTTCAAAGGCACTTGATATTATTTGTAGTTAGAATGCAAGAAACAGTCTCTCAATAATTTTTTCATCTTCTTTCACTTATTGACTTTTGATTTTCCTTGATGGGATCGATTCAGACACACTAATTCCCACCAAGTAGATTCTCCACCCTTAAGTCGATAGGCCACCAACTTAACTTTCCGCTCATATGGGATCTTCATATACTTGAAAACCTCTCCTCCTCTGCAACTCAATCAAAAAATTATTTGATATGTAGTTGCCCGTTAAAAGAAGACATATCCATCTTCTTTTTAAGTCCTCCAGCATCATAATTGTCCCGTTGTCGGCGGTCTCTGCAATCACCACCGCGGCATGGAGCATCATTGTTGTCACTGTCGCTGTTGAATTTGTCATGTGGAGTCAGATCACGTTGTTGGCGACCATCAACACGATTTTGAACTCCTACCATGTTTAGACTCTCCATTGCCGATGCAAGTCAATCTACAACAATCTTAATTTGATTAACATCGGTCTTCAACTCATTGAACTTAGTTCGAGAAATAGGGGTTTCATCACCTGCCATTTGATAGAAAGGAACAAGGCTCTGATACCAATTAACGCAACGCAGAAGTAAAACCTCAGAATCCACCAAGGGTTGATCTTTGAATTCACAAAGAACGATCTCTGAATCTACGAAGAACTTTGAATCCACGAAGAAAATATTAAAGAAGAATTTTATTGATAGAAAAATATTCTAATCAATGGGGTTACATAACTCTTCTTAAATAGAAAAATAAAATAGACTCCTAATAAAACTAGAATTACAAAGAAATAGAAAGTGTCAAATCTTATCCTAAAAAGACTCCCTATAATATAGGAAGCAAATCAGTCCTAATTAAATCAAAATTGATTTTATTTTCTAATCTAAATTGACTCTAAGTTTATTATTTAAAATAAACTAAATACTATTTTTTTTAAATCCTGCCAAAAACTAGTGTTACTGATAGGATTATGGGAGTCTACCAAACTGATTGACTCTATCTCGTCGAGATAAGTGATTTTCATATATAATATGTTAGAATCCGCCTTCCGGATTTGGAGATATGGTTGTTTCTTTGCGAAAGTCAACAATATGTATGAGTCTGTATTTAGCTCGTTATTGTACAACTTCTCTATAAAACTATCTGTTAAGCATCCTACATCACAAGCCAAGCAATTGATTTTTTTATTTTTCTTTTTGGTGTTAGAGTTTTCTTTAAATAAAAAGAGACTGTGAAAGTGAAAAAGAAATAAATAGAATCATGAATAACTAGCTTAATTTATAAAATTGACGTCAAGAGAAAATTTTTAATATCTTTTTACATGCATTTGGGATGGCATGCAAGGTTTGACCTAGTTTGGGATGAAACTAAAAAATGCCATTAATACAATATATAAAATTTATTTTACATTAATTAGATTTTACCTCGACAAAATAGAAAACTAGTAGCTATAGGGGCTGTTTGTTTCACCATTTTTATGGAAAAGAAATAGGATTTGGTCTGATAATGGCAAAATTGTAAATAAATGATTCTTTATGAATCCTATTCTTGAGTTTGGTTTCCCAAAAATTTATAGATTTTAGAATCTATAAAGTTAAAAAAAATATGCTGATTTTATTGAAACGTAAATCCTAATGATTTAGGCGGATTTGGGCAGAAAACTGACGCATTTGTACTATTCTCCCTTTTTTTCGAATTCTGTTTCTTCACAAACCCTATATTATTATGAGACCAAATCCTATTATCATTCCAAACCAAACTAAAGAATAGGAATTGCAGGGTTTCTATAAAGTTAGATTCTATTTTTTCATGTAAACTTCTTAACGAAACTTGTTGAAAGATGTTAATTTTTTTTTTTTTGACAATTTTCATGTTTGCCATGTTATTTCAATGTTCCCATTTTTTGCCTGTGTTAATTATATTTCCTGTGCTATATAGAAAAACTTTTTTCTGAAAGATAAAATTATTTTCTTTTACTTACATTAATATTTAGTGGTCTACAAGCCTTAAAAAATGAGCTGAATGCTAGTGTATTATTCATCATTAAATTATGACTTTTTATCTAAATATACCAAACAATGAGTTTCAAAGAG